CTTCCACGCAATAGCAACATATTATACGGCTAGCTGAAATAAAACTGCTATTTGGCAGGAAATATCAAACATGACACCCATTAAGTAAATTATTGATTCGGATGATACATTTTATATAAATTGGGAATTCCCTAGGGAAAAAAACTCACCTTAATGTGGTCACGTGACACGTGTCCTCGTGTTCGCGACTACCCTCCTTGTTCTTGTTCCCTATTGCTGGTTGAACTGGAGCATTACATTCCATCATTTTGTGATGGCCCATGTTGTTTCCCGTTTTGTTTTGATGTCTGCCATATGAGGGACGTGTTTTCTCTGTTTCCACTCTAAACACCTGTATCACGATCTTATGTCTGATTATTCTCAGGTTTTTTTGTGTCGTATCGAATCTAAGTTCGGGATGTTTTCCTGGTGAAGTGACATTCTGGTATGTTATCCCCTTGCTCAATGAGGTTTGTTATCACTTAGCAGCATTCGGATACTACTTATGTTTGCATTATTGCTTTGTATTCTGGATCAAACCCTTAGTATTTACTAAAGGTATTAATATACATGTATCAATATACATTAAAGCACGAGTAATCTGTACCATTCACAATGGTATGGTAGGCTACATCTAATCATGACTTGTGTTCAGGTAGGATATATCGATGAAAGTGTCGTCATGTTCTGACTTACCTGATGTATGCTCGTCTTTTATTTCTAATGCTAGTGATACCTTTTTGCTTTCTTTTGACCTTTAGTACTATATAAGGCAATGGAATGTTTGCTTTGTTTGACTTTCTGCATCTAAAACATTTTTTTTAAATAAGTTCCTCATTTCTTTGAATTTCTTATGATTTCCTTACATATTTGAATTAACACGAAAAAAGATAACTCACGAAAACGATTTAGATTAAAATTATCCCAGTGGTCACGGGAGAAGTACAGATGAACCAAGATACTCATATCGACATGTACAGATAACAGAATAGTCTGCTTAATGTCCTGTAGTTTATTTATTTATAAATAATTATCTTAATACATTATCTATTGAATCGCTAATATCACGTACACCATCGCCAAATAACCTTATTTTGCTGTTCACACTTGCCACAGTGCACTGACATTTTTGTCATATATGCATAATGTCATTAATATGCATTTTTATCTACCGATTTGCCCGAATCTGGGTCGATAGGGCATTCCTTTCCTGAATGGGCAGATCTAAACATCAGACTGAAATTGATTTGACTTTAGAACTGTTTACATGTGATGCTTACATGTGGGGGAAAAACAAAGGTCAAACGGCATACCATCCGTATTGAGCAAGTGCATCAAGTTCACGATCTCATACTTCACTCCGCCGTTAGTGCATCGAGTGCATCTCGTGGACAGGTCTATTATAAAATCAATACGCACTGCAGTAATGCATCCGGGTGGTGATTTAATTCTTTAATTGATTTGAAACAGATGAACTCGTTAGTCAGGTGAGCAGAAAAGCATATAGTTGCTGATACGTCCGGGTCAATTTAACATTTTGACAATGTGCCATCAACATCCTGTTTAATGCAAAACTGAATCCTCACTAACAGTACACTACGCAGTAATGCAAGATAGGGTAAACCCTTTTACAGGACACGGGTCAAAGGTCATCACCTAACAGACAATGAGAGATAAACACTGATGAATGTTGAAACTGTGTCTCGAAAAGGTTCATATGTAGGTTTTGTCGCCAAATCTGGTGGCGACACCTCCAATTAAAGCAAATTATAAAACTAATCAAAACACATCTGTGTTTTGAAAGATCGGTTTAAGAAGTATACGCACTTCCCCTTCTGTTTCAACAGCAGTTTAGACCAACTGGATTTACCAATGAGTCAAAGACGAAATGACTGTATGGTGCAGCGTGATTCCCTTTTTATGCGTACTGTATCTATTACCAAATGTAAAAATTGCAGTCCAATGTGTAAGTCTTAGGTCCATTGTTCAATGAATGTGGATGCCATCTGAAGGTGGTTCATAATATAGTGGCAATGCAATGGCAAATAGGACCTAATAACGGTGTCTGGGATCGTGGATGCCCCATATACGTGCCTGTATTTGACGGGAGAAACAATGAATGTGGCCAAGTGTGGTGGTGGAACAATGACTGGGGCCACGTGTGGTGGTGGAAACGCTCATCCTTCTAAAGCACGTTGTTTCGTCTCCGGCGCTTTGTTGGGGTCCATGATGCCTTTCTTTTAATTTTAGTAGTGCTGTCTCCACGATTTCTCTTGTTTTATCAGTTTGAGGTTAGGAATCTATCATTGAGTGTTAATGCTGTGGTATTCTTTTGTTCTATTGTATTGTAAAGGGAACTTTAAACTATTGGGTATAGTTTCTAGATGAAACATTCTTATTGATTTTGCAATAAATTTTTCAATTTTATATCACCAATACATGTTATCCAAAAGGATTTTCTTTTTCCGATCTTAATGATTGATTTCAACAGTAATACAAAATGTAACCTAGGTTTATAAAAAGGCCTGTATTTTCTCAAAATTCCTCATCCTGCCCATACTCGTTGAATGGACTGTTTTGGTATATCATTTTGAGTTATACTGGAGAACTAATTATACTACTGAGATATGAAGGATCCATGCCCCACCGAAGGCAAAACACTGGAGAATGTCACTGTCATTTATTATATATATATACTTACCTTATCTAAATTTTGTAAGTACATGTAACTGTATTGGGAAGAATAAATTTAAATCAAATACTATTTTAATTTTTATTCAAAGACATCAGCATATCCACAAAGACATCAATACTCAAAATAAACATCAATGTATCCACAAAGATACATCCATATATTCATATAGAGATCAATATATCCACATAGATATAATTATATCCACATAGATATCAAAATATCCACATAGACATCAATATATCCACATAAAGATCAATATATCTACAGACATCAAAGTATCCACATACATATCAATATATCCACATAGAGATCAATTTATCCACATAGACATCAAAGTATCCACATATATATCAATAGATCCACATAGACATTAATAGATCCACATAGACATCAACAGTGCACATGGACATCAATAGATCCACATAGACATCAATAGTTCACATATACATTAATGGATCCACATAGACATCAACAGTCCACATAGACATCAATAGATCCACATAGACATCAATAGATCCACAAAGAGACATCCATATATTCATATAGAGATCAATATATCCATATAGATATCAGTATATCCACAGAGATATCAAAATATCCACATATACATCAATATATCCACATGAAGATCAATATATCCACATAGATATCAGTATATCCACAGAGATATCGAAATATCCACATAAACATCAATATTTCCACATAAAGATTAATGTATCCACATAGACATCAAGGTATCCACACAGACATCAACATATCCACATAGAAATCAATGTATTCACATAAACATCAATATATCCACAAAGATATAAATTTATTCACATAGACATCAATATATCCACATAGACATCAATATATCCACAAAACCATCAATAATCAACAAAGAGACATCGATATATTCATATAGAGATCAATATATCCATATAGATATTAATTATCCACATGAATAAATAATGCCACAATGATATCACATGTTTGACCACTGGACGACCGATCACAGTGCAGTTGTTCTACCTACCTGTTCTACCTACCTGTTCTACCTAATCAACGGTATTCCAGGCCAGGCTAGTTAGGTCAACAACGAAATTAAGGAGAGGTTACTGAATATTTGAATAATTACAGTAGAATTCTCTTCTGTTCGACTGAAATGGAGACAGGAATCAATAAATGTATATAGATCCTTTTTACACATAATATTTCCCGAAATTATTTCTCTCTTCATCATCATTTGATATGTTAAACTAACCTGAATACAATCACGTTGACTTAACTAAATAACGTTTAACAGATGTACCTGTTTGGATTTCGTTTGTAAAAGGAGACGAATGTCACTGTAAGGAAGTTGATTATATACGAGATGAGATAAGATGGGTTGTTTGATATTTATAGAGGTGGTCCGTCAATTCACAAGTATGATAAAGCATCTCAATTTAGCGATATGTATGCTCCTGTCACTTAGTACGTATTTAGTACTGAAATGTGTATGTCCCTCTCACTAAAAATGTGTTCAGTATGGAAATATGTTCGTCCTTGTCACTTAACACGTGTTAAGTACTAAACTATGTGTATGCCCCTGTCATTAAACACGTGTTCAGCACTGAAATGAGTTTGTTCCTCTCCCTAAATTGTGTTTAGTACTGAGATATGTTTGTCCCTGTCACTAAGTACATGTTTAGTTCTGAAAAATCTATCATTCTGTCAAACAAACACAGAATTTGATACTAAGATATTTATGAACCTAAACACAATTTAGTATGAAATGTGTATGACCTGTCAATAAACACGTGTTAAAAATTGAAAATATGTATGATCCTGTCACCAAACGTGTATGGAAAAATAATTTATTAATGACATTGTTTTCTTGTTTAATTTTAAACATACAAACATTAAACTGGTGGGGGATAAAACGATGGCCATAGGTATGAAGTGCCCGAGAAATATGTTTTTAACATTAATTCTATAATTCAGAGATTCATATCATGTCAATAATCTCACGAATTGTTTTCACTCTCACGAAACTGGAAAAATATATAGTGACAACACAAATCTCTCTTCCATCGTTCAATTTTTCTCACATTACTCAGTCGTATCACTGACAAGTTATAACATTCTATCAACTAACAGACGTACAAACTCGATACTCAAGGGGTTACGCTCACTTACGCTCTCTGCACCCCTAGAATATGTCATAGCAAAATTGAAGGCACGAAGTTACCTGTTTGATTGGTCTCAAGTAAAAAAAAATACCTGACCAATCGCTGGGCTGATACCTGTCCTTTGAAGCTTACAAAGAAGCGACACCTGACTTCAAAGCCTGTCAATTTTTACCGTTACGTGACCGCGAGATTCTTTTGATGTACATCAAATGATCAAACTAGTCGGCTTGTCTCATCAACAAGGTTGAACACACTGAGCTTTCAATTTCGCTATGATATATTCCAGGGGTGCAGAGAGCGAAAGTGAGCACCCCCCTGGAGAGTCGAGGATGACTGACATACAACAAATCTAAATCACACATATCATCATAGTCCACTCCTGTCACACTAAAATCGACATGATGACAATATACATCATGTTTGTAGACAGCGCTAATTCATTAACACTTTAAGTTCTTGACAAGTAACTTTTCTCCAAAACAAGATCTTATAGGTTCTAGACTAGTCAAATATCAACACGTGTCATCGTCACATGGTTGATACGTGATTTCACCATTCAATTTCATCGTCTTGTGGAACTACCAGAAGAGCCTTTTGTATAAGAGATGTGATGTTATCTGAAAAAAATCATGTCAATTAATTATTAGTTAATACATGAGAGTTGAAAAACATGTTTATACCAAAGCATAGATAATGTTTCGGTGACCCATTACGGTACTTGTAATTGTTTTCCCTTTTTCTTTGATAATGTTTCAATATTTATTTCATTGTGTATCAATATGTTTGCCCTGATAAAGTTAACGTGAATTCGCAAACATCTCCACAGAACGGAAAAAATACCGTTTTTACAGTAACGTCAAAACCAACGATATCATACTTACGATTAAACATATTGAACACTTGTGGTTTGGATTTCCAATATATGCCGAGAATGTAACAGGGAACCCCGACCATGGTGAGACAGAAGGCGAGTAGACTGATGTCGGGCTTCTGAATACAGGTGAGTACCAAGAGCACAAGACTCATCACAAACAGGAAGATTGGCAACACCAGAGGGAGCTAAAGTAGACAGAGAATGTTTTATTTAAACAATGGATATTAACAACGTACTCATATCCTCGTTTTGTATTTTCCAAATTTAAAGTTTTACAAATCCACGAAATTACTGCTATTCAGAATTTCATTTTTAAACAAAATCGTCCTGACTAATCGATTATCATAGTCTACATCGAGTTGCGTATTTGCATAAAAATAAAGGTAAAATTATTGATAACATATTGCCAACGTTTGTATACAATTTTTGCACATCTCGAGACGAAATTCACATTATTTCAGCAATATACGAGATGAAGAAATATTTCTCAATCGAATTGGTATTCAATAGATTTAACGTATGTAAACTCGGCTTACTGGGCTTGCTTTAAGTGAATGAGGGGAGGAATTGCTAGACATTTTTTCTGCGATTCGATCTGTTTATCATCACTCGTTTCTTGAATTTATTCGCGAAACATTTACATGTTTGTTGTTAATATTACTTATTTCTCATTTTGATGGACATGTTGTGGGGACCTTTGTTGTCTTCCATTGTTTTGACGGCACTTTGGTTCGCATTGTTCTCTTTTCATTTCTACTTTGAGTTGAGATGATGTTCACCTTGCGTGTTGAAGCTGTCGAATGTGTTTTATTTTTGTTTTTATTTTTATTTCCAAAAAACGTATGTATGTTTTTAAAACGATCAAACTGAAATCTAAAAGTAGCTCTAAAACTTAGCTAAGAATCATTGTCTTTTGGCGTTTGCTATGTTAGGGAGCAAAAATTTCCCTGAACATGACTAGTATATTGCTAGCAACAGAGGCTGTTTTTAGCACGCGCCACGCGTCATGTGGACCTCACAACCTCGGTTCGCATGTGAATCATTCAACATTTATATCCTTACCTTGATAGGTCTAGGCATGTCAGGTTTTGTGATCCTCATGTAAATCTGTCCTGCGAATACGAACGCCAGGACAGTGGTGAAACTAAAGCCCATCATCTCGATCAGATAGAAGACATCGCCCAGGCTCTGCATTAGCAGTGACAATACCAGCTGTGTAGGTAGAGAAAGGAACGTTAATAACAGATGAACATTGATTTCATTCTATTTACATTCCTCTTCTACAAGTTCAATTCTATTTTGCTAAAACATGGAATTAAGTTGTCAGTCAAAGAAAGGTGCATCGAATTTACCACCTTCGCTTGTTTAAAAAATAAGACTAAAATAGATTATTCTTTCGTCTTGGAAACTAGATTTATTTCAGTAAACAAAACACACGGATATATATCTGAAAAGATTTTCGTGTTGTAACTGCGAAATACAGATTATTGATCTAAGGTCTGCTGAGTAATTCATCATTCTGTGCTATCTGAATTGTTTATTGCCGCCAAATTTTACTCTTAACAAAAACAAGAGGCCCATGGGCCTTAACGGTCACCTGAGTCTACAGTATTTCTTTTTGTTGTTGAAATATGTACCAATTTGAGTAAAAAATAGTATAATGTTAACTTAACTTTGTCAGGACCATGAGCTGATCATTCCTAGACCAATTTTAAGTGAGATCGGCCTATTAGAACTTAGTAGCAAAATAGCGGCCATGGCAGCCAAATTGTATTTCTGATTGACCCGAAAAATAACAACACTTTGTCAGGACCATGAGGCGATCATTCCTACCAACTTTCAGTTCAATCGGTCCAGCAGAACTTGACTTTAAGTTTGAAATAGGTTTTCAAAATGGCGGCCGTGGCGGCCATATTGGATTTCTGATCGACCCGAAAAATAACAACACTTTGTCAGGACCATGAGGCGATCATTCCTACCAACTTTCAGTTCAATCGGTCCAGCAGAACTTGACTTTAAGTTTGAAATAGGTTTTCAAAATGGCGGCCGTGGCGGCCATATTGGATTTCTGATCGACCCGAAAAATAACAACACTTTGTCAGGACCATGAGGCGATCATTCCTACCAACTTTCAGTTCAATCGGCCCAGCAGAACTTGACTTTAAGTTTGAAATGTAAAATGTTAACGGACGATGGACGACGGACGACGGACGACGACGGACGAAAACGGATAGCAATAGGTCACTTGAGCTAAAGCTCAGGTGACCTAAAAAGACAACTAAGTTATGTATACTTTATGTATTCTATTTAAAGAATGCTTCTATGCATCAAACAAACAAAAATTATTGACCGAAAAACAAGATTCGTGTACACATTATAATCTGTGTATAATTTATTTGACTTACGATCGTGATCAGAGACGGTGCTGGTGTGAGAAATTTGTAGTTGATCATGGCTATTATACTGGGAAGATGATTATTGCTGGCACCAACAAAGAATAACCTGATGGAAGATGACATTGAACATTAGACAGATAAAATACCACTTTTGGTGTCATACTGACGCCCACAAAGATCAACCTGATTGAATAATACAATAGATTAGGATGATAAATCCTTGTTACTTTAAATAATCCTTACCAATTTCCAAATTGGTCTAAATTATAGATGTACACTGTAGTTGGACATAGTAGATGTCGACAGTAACACGAGGTTAATCAGTCCTTAAACCTCACTCGATCTATATCCAATAGAACGATATCGACCGCAAATGTAGCAAAACTTAGATAAACACGAAAAAGATACAGAAATCAAATTTCAGAACCCAAAATAACAATATTCCACTGCAAGATATGGTTCAATATGAAGCATCAAAATGAGAGTGTTACTGTAATGACCAATAAAAACAATGAATGCTAAGTTTGTTTTGAACACAAAATGTAATTGGAAACTTATGTTGCGTCTGTTTCCTTTGTCAAGCATAGAGTGAACATGACCAGTGTCTTCCAAGAAACCGGTCATTAATGAATTTCATTCCGAATATGTGTTGATCAACTTTTAAGAAAATGAAACATTTCTCGCTGTCAAACATGTTATTTATATTCAATATATTGCTTTTGTCGTGCATAAGTATATATTAGAACACTATCATCTGCTTAAAGAATATATTTCAATATTCGTTTGATTAATGGTGGAACTTTAGACTGGTTTCTTACCTCGACATTGAAAGGCTAGTACCGTTCATTGAACCTGCCACCGAGATCGCGATCAGGACAGGAACTACTACAGACATCGCAGGAACGGTCAAGTCAGAGAAAGTCTGAAATAAAGTGTAAACATTGTTGATATAAAAAAATAAACATAGAAAATACTAAAACCAATACATGTAAAAAAAGAGAATGACATAACGAACATGGACGTAAATCTGTGATTTAGAAGCGTAAGAACACATTTGGCGTGAAACTTATTTAGTGGATTGGTCCTATGTATTATGTACACTTGCAGATTGTTTTATATGATAGTGTTATTTATTTTAGCTTATATGCCAGGAAAGTTCCCAGAGTTGAATGTAGTGTTGTATGTTATTGACTGTCAGTAAAAATTGCAATAATTGTTTTCACTTCACACAGAGAGGATTTGTGAAAAAAAACTTTTCTCTGTGGTCTGTATTGTTATGGTAGTACTTGTGACGTCGCCATGGAAAAAACCCATTTCAATGACGTCATGAAACATCCTACCTGACTATTATTTCATGCATAAGCAACTCACTAAGGATTAGTGATAACGTCACTTTTGAGGAAAAGTTTTTACAGGATTATTATTTTGATTAACATAATTGTAAGATTGACGCCTTCGGGTTTTGGTATTATTGGGATTTGGCGTTTTATTAACAGCTGAGGTCATATTCCGTCTTTGCGTATTGCAGAGTTATCTTAGCTTGTGAGTAGGTATTGATTGTTACGTCATTGGTTTGTGAGAGTAAAGTCATCAATTTTTGAGAAAAGAACGTAATTTTCTCACACAAACCAATGACGTAACAATCAATACTTGCTCACAATAGAAGATAACTCTTCAATACGCAAAGACGGAATATGGACGCACTTCTATGTGTGTAATGTATGAACGTGTGGTAGAGGTGGTTTATTGTTGTATGTCTGCCGGCGATAGTGCAAATCTGATGCCGACTCAAGTGCTAGCTTTCTAACGGAATTGATCACGGAAGGCACCCATCCTAGTAATCCACCCGGTTCGCATTAACCTAACAACGGGATAACCACTTGTTCGGAATACCCAAAATGCTGAACATTCAGCAGGAAATAAACAATATCATTTGTAAGGACTCTAGTATAAGATTGATATAATTGGTAATATGTATATGTACACGACCTTTGCAGCTACAAGTGATGGCGTGTTGCGTTGATAAACATTATTTCTGTGCGCACAATATCAATAAAACTAATAACCTATAGCTGTTATGCTGGATATGAAACTCTGATTGTGATAAACTGGCAGTATTGATCGATAACATTGGTAACTCTAAAAATAAAACTGCCTTAATACAAAAAGGTACATCGATACCTGCCTGAATAACAGTTTTCACATTTATTTCTATTCCGGAAATGAGTTTCTTTAAGTTAATCGAACGGAATGTGTCCAGGTTATTTAAATGACACAGAAAACGATGACGCAACATACCACAGCCACTGCAGTAGACTGGAGCATCTCCGTCGGCGTGAGGACAGCAAAATAAGCAATGTTTGCCACCAAATATACTGACGTCACAATCGCCATGGAAATAAGGATAGCTCGTGGTAAATTTCTGGAAACACAAATATAAAATATCATACAGTGTTTAATATGATCCGTTTTAATATCAATTTTGGAGGAAATTAATTTCAAAAATTGTAATGTACAACACAAATTGATAAGCATGATGTCATCTGATGTTTTACAATAACGTTTTGAAATGTCATTTTGGAAACTGAACCATAGATGATCAAAACATTCAAACGAAACTATTTCCCGTAAAAGCAAAGTATTGAAAACTCAGCTTTTCATGTTTTTTATTGAGATGTTGCCTAGGTGTAAGGCTTGGGGGCAATAGATGATTTCTGAAGACAAAGCAATACATAAAAGCTGAAAATTCAATTACAATGTTTTAGCCACAAAGCCACGAAAAGTACATGTACATGTTATCAACAACACGTGTTAATTAAATAGGATAGATATAAAATTGTAAAGGAATTAATGCAAATTACCTGTGAGGTTCAATTAACTCGTCAGTCAAGAAATTAAGGTAGCTCCTGTAAACAAAAATATCCTGATTCAAAAGTCTACACCAAGTTACTAATATAATTTCATTTAACAATACATGTATTCGGTTTTGTTATTCGTTTATACATTAAGGTTTTTGCATGGAAACTCTAAAAATATGTATGAAATATTCTTCTGCAGTCACTTTCAACATAATATAAGTGACATTTTACTTACACGCCATAGAGGACTAATTAATTTGTCATAACGATTGATCTATAAACCACATATATATAGGATCTTACATAAGTTTCCATTTCATATGAGATTTATGAAACGAGTCTAAAACTTTTTCAATTGAGCGAGCCTCTGGCGAAAAGAGCTAAAACGAAAAATTCGTGACGAGTTTCATAAATTTCATATGAAATGAAAATAAGTGTAAGATTTTTTTTTATCACATAACCACGATTTTTGATATTTATTCGTGTAAAACGACAATTTTCATGCAACCTTGAAATGAAAAAAGGCGCCATTTTGATCTAGTGCGTAAGCCTGTGACGTCATGTACTTGCCATAGGCGTGACGTCACAATTGAAACAATTGAAGCGTACAACGAATCACAGGTCTGAAAGGTCATATTACATGGATTAATACGCAAACAATATGACATGGGTATAGTTACTAGATAACACAGCACATTATGTGATAAATAGGCCTAATGAATACTGTTTTTTGGGAGAAAATTGTGCACATAATGAGCATTCTGAAAAGGTGAAAATTGTTTCACATCCCTAATATATTAATTATATTTTATCTATACATTGTATTTGCTTTCTAAAATGGTTTCTGGACATGTCTTTTTATAAAATTATAATGTCTTACCATCCTCCAAATGCCCAAAATCCCGAGTAAAATGATATTGCAATAGCCCCGGCGCTGTAGTCACTATCTGCGAAGGAATCTTTGAAGTTTTCCACTTTGCCTGAGAGATAAAATTAGATTAATTGTTAACTTAAAAAACAACTTCATACTTATCATTTATGTGTGGTATTGAAGATAATTTTAAAAAAAGACGTCATTGTAAGACGAGCAAGGAATGAAGTCCGAAAACATCTTTATTTCTTAATATCACAGCGAAAGTAGATTATAACGGCAATGTTGAAGATGGGAAATGAATATCTTAAACTGAAAGACGGAAATATGCCAAACCTCGGCCTGGCCACATAACGAGTGCTCCGAAGGGTAATGCGATATTTTTCTAATGTCAGTTAACATGTACAGCCGTACCCTCAAAGGGACACCTCTGTACTGTGGCTAATACTGTGAAGTAAACGATTAATTGTTAAGCAGGAAATTACCCATAGGGTTTTTATTTCAATTTAAAAGTCAAAGAGCGTTAGGTTTGAAAAACTAAGCGTCGAATGACACGCATATTAGAGACGTTATGTTCACGTTATTATTTCTAAATCTGAACTGCCCGTGTAACCATAATCAACAGCCAATGAAACAGATTAACATTTTAACTCACATAAAAGTATCAAATAGTGAAAATCACATAAAAATACTCATTTGAATTGCATGTCATTGTATTGGCCCATTTTCCAACATGTGTCCCGTTTTGGGCCCATTGACGTTACGCATTACACAGGCTGTGTTATCAATCTGTGTAACGCTACGTGTCCTACGTATCGTTTCTGTACGCCAATATGTTACTCTTCCTTCATTTTGAGTGTGTATTTGACAAGACATCATATAGAAGATTCCTGTAGCTGTTGACGGTACCGATATTTCTATCAATATGAGTATTCGCCGTCATGTAAATAACCACATAATAACACCTTGTAACTGGCTACATGGAAGCCACCATTGTCTGTACGATTTTCATATGATTGTATTACCCTACACGTAAAAGCGCAAACCATTCTGCTGATAATTGTGTGAAGTGTACTTGAACGTCAACCAGAACTTTGGTAATGCTATAAACCAAATACTTGGCTTATCATTCGCAACCAGCCATTGATTTTCTTGTGACAATTTGCGATAGAGTAGGACAATTTCATTAATTCTAACAGTTCTGTACAGCGTTGATGACAAAAACAAGGCGCCATTAAGAACCCATACATCCGTACGTACCACTTGATCAGTAATTGAAATCTCGTCAACTTCCCGCGAGAAGATCGTGCGTGACAGATGTGCATTATGAAGACGTTCATAAAATGTAAATCTCTTTGATGAATGGTCACTTAACCTTTCAAACAGACACCCGAGGAAATTAGCTAGACAGTGTACGGGATTATAAAGATCCCCCCAACACAGACAGTGCAATTTCCTTGAACAACATTGCACGTAACATCGTTTTGTTTGATAAAGATTACAACACATGGACGTTGTGTTCGATTATCATTTTCTACTTTGTATTTATTCGTGGAAATCTTGTTAAATTTACATCATTCATTTATTCAACCATTTTTTGAGTATTTTCAGCAAAGGCTGTTTTTTCGTAATATACTACTAAAATATGACGATGTCATTCTTCATAATTAAGATGATTAAGTTTTTTTCATTAACCTGAGAGCTGACAAGGGTTGAACATTCCAGAAATTTTCGGAGGGTTGAGGTTTCAATGTCATAATCTAAATGTCAAAATAGGGAACAATGATTTGTTGTCAGATCAGTTAAATTTATCAACAAGTGCATATTTTGATTACGTATCTTTTTCAGGTGTAGCGAGTGCCGCATATCATACCCCAGATATTGGCAGTATCTCATGGTTTAAAATGCTGACGAAATGAAACAATCAATTCTGAAAAAAAGTTGTATAATTGTGTTTTATCCTATATATCTCGCATTTTTGGATGACCAAACATACAGTCATATAATTGTTAATGTTTCAAGGCAATTTTTTTAATATAAAATCTAAAATTGTTAGTTACCATTTCCAAGGTAGACGAAACCGATGACGATGATGGTGGCAAGAGCAACGAGTTTACAAATAGTGATGCCAACTTGTACTTTAGCTGCCCACTTCACATTAACACAGTTGATAGAGATCAGCAGCGCTATAAAACAAATTAAAACATCTGAGGGTGTAATACAACAAATTACAACATTATCTTACAATGTTATACATTAAACAACAACATTATCTTACAATGTTACACAACAAATAACGACATTATCTTACAATGTTACACAACAAATAACATTATCTTACAATGTTACACAACAAATAACAACATTATCTTGGAACTCTGTAAACAAATAACAGCAACACTGAACAACACAACTTACACAACCAACCTGTTTAATCATATCATAATGATGTGGAGTTTATCGTAGCACAGTATATTCATATGATTCTGCTCGTCATAACAATGTGATAACAGTACAACAAGTTACATTGCACAATAACGATAAAAGCAATAAGTTATCATTCGGTTATAGAAACATTAACAGATAACTAGACTAGCTATCAGCCTCTATGTTTCAAATTCATTTTCCTGTTTAGATATTGATTTGGGCAAATGTACGGGGTATGGACAAACAGAGGATGAACGACAGAAAAATACAGCTGTTTGCACCTATAAGTTGGTAATAGGTACAGTAAGCCAAATAATGAATTACACCGCATCCTCCAGCTGTTTCGTCCCTCTAGGACTCATCGATGACGATAGGGACCAAAATCAAAATTAGTAACATCTACTATTGAAACAACTATATGTAAAAATATCAAGGTTGCTTAAGTCAATAAACAAGAAAATAATCATGCGACTGAAAACCAGCAAAACCACTATTGTATTGGATGTTCCATTTTATGAACTTTTAAAGGATCCTTCTCCTATAAACACACAAACAGTCATCCAAGATTTCTTATCGCTGATTTAGATAATTTGTCCGTGGAAACACGTCATTACATGTTGCTTTCCATATTGAGGTTTACCGTAATCTTGATTGTTAAACGCATCTCTTTTGAGTTGTGGTACGGTTCGGGATATACACACTTTATAAATGGTTAATTTAAAACTAACCTGTACTCCACTAGTTTTGAAAATATTAATATTAATGGGTTTAAAAACTACCTCTCTTTCTGTTTCAAAAGTAGTTTTGACCAATTTAGGGTTCGGGCTTTTTAGTCCCTAGCATCACCGTAGGACGAAACAGCTATATGGTGAAGTGTATTTCATTTTTTGCATACTGTATTTATTACCAAATATAAAAAGTGTCATCAACTTTGTTTCTTACGCTCACCTTAAGATAATTATATCTGTTCATTAAGGCGACTTAGTCGGTTTACCAACGTCTGGATCAGACACTTTCAATTATTACGTGAGATATGTTAAAGGGAGTATCAGCAATGTTTTTGCGTGACATGATTATATTATATATATAACGCACATAGCATTCGTGGCAGATAAAGTGTGTCATATGTATACGCAAATTGCACTTATATTTAAGCAGGTCAAGGTGAACCCCAAAAAAGTCCATATAAGATAAGACTGGAGTGACGATATACTGATATAATACTGCCATCTCTTGCATTTAAAGACAAGTGTTGTACACCAAGTAACCAGTCCGTGTGACCTTGACATACACTGACGATGTCAACAACTTCGGTCGGGTGGACGAATACTACAGGATTATAACCAGTCACTCAATGCTATCTCAATGCTTCTATAGCACTTATGAGTCCTGGACAGTCAACTAGCTGATAGTCTTAACATGTCAACGCCACCACAGGAAATCTCTTTATCTGATAAAGTTAAAAAGAATAAACTTGCTTACTTTCAAATTTTTAATTATTATGGATGTTCCTTCTTTTTTCTTAATTAACACATGCTGTGAACGCCATGAACGCGAAGTGAATGCTTCAAGATTTTTCATTCGTATTTAATCTGACCTAAAGTAAACCTGAACGTTTGTATTCATTAACAACCTATTGGAAGGACTATATTACAGTTTAACAGTTTAGGAAAGTATTTTAGGAAAGATTATTGTAAATTTAACAAGAATACAATAATCAAAAGCCTTTTTATGTTATTAATTTTAAGCAAATAGCACCATGTTATTTAAATGCTGTTCTGAATTGCTGCACTTTAATCATTTTGACGCAATGTAAGGGAAACTAACAAAATGAAAACAGACGAAATTGTTTATAAAACACGTCAAATGCTGCACAATATTCATTTATTCATGATAAGCAGTCTTATAAACTTGAATTTAAATAAACGAAACGAAAAATTAATTTTTCGGAAAGAGTTTTTAGAATTTTGATGTTGAATACTCTTTATGGTTAGGTAGAGTCCTGTCGCCTAAAATGAAGTTAGTTATTGGAATGTAAATTCTTTAATGATCAAGCAGGTGGTAGCGACATCTAAAAGATTAAACGGGAAAATATCAGTTTGTGTCTGCTGATGACCTCCTAGTACAAAAACCCAACAACACACTTTAAGACTGATAAAACGGTTATTTCCAAACTTCAAGATTGATATGCAAATGATCCACTAGTACATAAGTTGGCACAGATATTTAAATAGAAATTAGGAACGTCAAGTGGGAAAAAATCAAGAGTTATATGCAAATGATGTACACTGTACTAATTCAAAAGTCTAAACACAAATCTGAATAGGTTCTTTTGTAGAAGATGTGTTTCTTAAGTGATTTTAAAAGCACGTTATCGAGTAGGAAGCTGCAGAGCACGTTGTTGGTGCGGGAAGGTATACAGTCTGAACCTTGAATGAGGGACGTCTTATTGTAAACATGTTTATATAGCACAACCAGTGAAAAGTTTAGGTATGACGTTCCGATGACTAGTACTAGATCATTTATCTGGTAAAGGTTATATAGTACATATCGTACTACTCATCGAAACATCACAAACAAATTCTCTCTCTCTGATTGTGTTAACCGAACCTGTATAAACTGTACTTACCAACCTGGAGGTTTCCAGATAAATGGAGGTTTTATATTTTACATTCAGTGCATTTAATGTTTGTATTTTAACGTGTATGCATGTTCTAATGGTTTTAAAACAATTTGTGTCAGTACAGCGTTTTCTATTGATTCACTAATTTCCTCAATACTCCATTTTATTGTATACAGCTTTTCCCTTCGTGCAGTCTTATTTTTTACGTTTTCGACAGGAAATTAATATTAGCCCACAGTAGAATTCGCGGAAAACAGTCCCCGTAGCTGATATTTTTATTTTGCCTATGCTACAACGTGACACTCATTCGCCCGTAGATTTATCAGAGTCAAATCAGCGAAGATGTTCGCAGATAATTTACCTAAAATTGATTTATATTAGAGGATTAAAAGATTTAGCGTCATCGAATATTTTGTATCAAATCGACACCTTCAATGTTACAGTTTTTGCGTTTATATAGCGCATTGAAGAAAAAGAAAATTGCTCAAATTAAGTACATGTTAATTGCTCAGAAAAGATTGATAGCATGACTTTGTAACAATGTATGATTTGAAGATGAATGTTCTAATGGATATTGTTGATACTCACCGATGATAAGAGCCGCGATCAGACGAACAGCAACAAACGGTGGTTCACAGTCAGAATACACTGGCTTGAGGATATATGTTGCAAAAATAAGACAAGATGCTGCCACACATACTGGACAAATAATTATAAAATTAATCCACAGTGCTAAAAACGCGAAGAAGTCTCCGAACGCCTCACGTATATAAGTGTATTCGCCTCCCGACTTTGGGATGCATGCGCCTAACTCAGCAAAACACAAGGCGCAAAGAGCCGAGAAAACGCCTGTTACTGTCCACATCACACAAGACATGCCCACAGACTTGACATTTTGTAAAATCCCTACCGGAGATACAAAAATCCCCGAGCCTATTATAATCCCTACAATGATACACACAGCCTGGAACAGGCTGATCTGTTTCTTCAGTCTCACATTCTTGTTGGCTTTTGTCGTCAAGCTTTCTGATTCCGAGTGACCGTTTGCTATCTTCCCATTCTGAACGTCTCCATTTTTCATTAAAGGCATCTTGACTGTGTCCTTGTTCAACTTTGATCATTTATCCTGTGAATGAAAAATTATCTTACTGATAATGTAAATCAGACGATAAGTTTGAATTGATACGAGTTGAAATACATCACCTTCACCCTGAGATGGATACTGGGCACGAATTGGGCAGAACACCTATATTTTACGGGTGTTATATTTGAAACATCTCCATCAACTAACTCAAATTCTATCCTTACCGAAAATGAAATGATTTTCTAACGTAACTACAAATAGTCCTTTGCCCCACCATATAAACACAAAAATAGCACCCTGTCTTAACCAATACAAACTACTTCAAGCGCCGAACAAAGTTACCCTACCCTATAACTAACTATATTTTCTCTTAACCACAATATTGCCCAAACAATATTAACACAAATAAGGTTACCTTACTTTAACCACAAACAACGGGTTGTCCTACAATTATCACAGATAATTACCAGTTCGCTACCCTCAAATGATGTTACATAATCCTTTTTACAATGTTACCAATCTCTAATAACAAAACAAGTTGACCTACCCACAAAGCAAATCGGCCTACCCACAAAACAAGTTGACCTACCCACACAACAAGTTGACCTATCCACACAACAAGTTGACCTACCCACAAAACAAGTTTATTCTACCCTGACAAAAAAGATGGCACCTTACTCTACCACAAACCATGGTGCTTGTCTGTGACCACATTGTTACCCTTACCTGATCACAAACAATGTAACATTACTATAACGACATGTAATCCTTTTCTCTAAACACGAACAATGTTTCCTCCCCTCACATCAAACAACGTTACCCTACCTTATCACAAACAATATATCCCTACACTTCCAAAATATAATGTAACCCAGCATAGCATAAACAGTGTATCACAAACATTCTTTCCCTTCTTTAACAATAAGCTATCTTCCCTCCTTAAACATTAAAAATTGTGTCCCTTTACAATGTAACCTAACATATCACAAACAATTTGTAACTAACTCCACAACAATGTTGCTACTCTGACTACCAAACAATGTAACAACTATCTCCACAACAATGTTGCCCTACTCTGACTACCAAACAATGTAACAACTATCTCCACAACAATGTTGCCCTACTCTGACTACCAAACAATGTAACAACTATCTCCACAACAATGTTACCCTATTCTGACTACCAAACAATGTCACAACTATCTCCACAACAATGTTGCCCTACTCTGACTACCAAACAATGTAACAACAAACTCCACAACAACAGTTTCCCTCCCTAACATCAAACAATGTTACGCCAGCCCTTATCTACCACAAATATGGTACTTAAACCCATACTATCTACAATGTTATCAGGCAGAAAATCATCGGCGGTCTCCAGCCCTTACTACAATACGCACGTTATGCTGACCACGGATAGAATAAATGACCCATTCTGCAACACAGCCGGTGCCTCATAAATAAAACTACACACGTTTCACAATTGACTACTTTCAGATAGACAGAAATTGAGCCAAATCCTTTCCTTACAAACGTACATGTACAAAACGTTATTAAATCTCACTCTAACGTATTAAGAAGATTATTTTCTGAAAATGCAATGAAACATGCATATTACAATACAACAGAATTTCTATGCTGCTGAAACTGGCAGTGACTTACCTACCACCAGCGTCAGAGAAACTGAGAGTATTGAGCAAAAGCGTCCACGACGTCAGTCTGCAGGGCTGAGGACAATGCGTTAGACCTCGTGTCCCATACATAGCTGAGTATGTAATCTTAACGGGCGAAACCATCTATTTAAAGCACTATTCAATGAATATCACTGTACATCGATAATGCTATTTTCGTAAACGTTTCCGCCGCATATGTTTGACCTTATCACAACTAAATAAAAAGCATTTACGTCAGTTTCTAATCAACCGAGAAGGTATAACAATTTTCAATTTGTTGGTTAAGCTAACAGTTTCAACAGCTGATCAGAGACTGTCTATCTCCATAGAGTGATAAGCTAAACTAGACTTTGTTTCGGATAAGATTGAAAATAGGTTATACAAGCAATACCAATATTGCACGAAATTGTGTTTCATTAACGAAACGTTCTGTTATTTACTACTTTCTTATACATATGCATAGATATTTATGTGAGTATGAATATATGTAAAATATATACCTTGTCTGTGTTGTTTTCATTGGAATGCTCTTTGGATAAACATGTGAATATGTGAGAACTAATACTGTCACAGTGACCGCCAACAAGGATTACTGCATCAAGCTAACCGCGAACACGTGTACGAACTGATCAACAGACTTTGTCGTTAAGTGACCACGCTCGCTTCACGTGTTAAATGATATAGCACTACATAAATATATATATAGGTCAGTGAGAGCACAACTACCAATGGCTTTGTACATCGTGATGACCTGATGTAATTGAGATGTTATTGACTCCTACGATTAACTGATTACGTCATGAAATCTACGACATGTGGTGTGGAAAACTTCACACTTACTGAGAGTTATACAATATAAACAAAGTAGATAAGATTGGACAACAAAAATTGAGAGATGACAACAGGAATGGGATAAATATTAATGAATGATCCTTGCATACAATTGTTGTTACTGGGTACGAATGATCACAGTCAAGTGGTATAATACAAGTTAAGTCAATATTATTTGTTTTAGTGTTGTTTATCACAATAACCTTAGTTACATGGCATTAAGATATAAAGGTACATAGCCGGGAGCAATCACCTTAGTTACATGGCACTAAGATATAAAGGTACATAGCAAGGGAGCAATCACTTCAGTTACATGGCACTAAGATATAAAGGTACATAGCAGGGAGCAATCACTTTAGTTACATGGCATTAAGATATAAAGGTACATAGCCGGGAGAAATCACCTTAGTTACATGGCATTAAGATATAAAGGTACATAGCAGGGAGCAATCACTTTAGTTACATGGCATTAAGATATAAAGGTACATAGCTGGGAGCAATCACCTTAGTTACATGGAATTAAGATATAAAGGTACATAGCAGGGAGCAATCACCTTAGTTACATGGCATGAAGATATAAAGGTACATAGCAGGGAGCAATCACTTTAGTTACATGGCATTAAGATATAAAGGTACATAGCCGGGAGCAATCACCTTAGTTACATGGCATTAAGATATAAAGGTACATAGCAGGGATCAATCATCTTATGTACGATATTGTTAAAACAGTTAATACACAAACTGCCTTATAGACTCAGGTTTGTGGTGGGAGTTCGGGATGTATGCTGTGTTTTGTATTGGTGTCCCTTCGATGGTTTGATCTTTTGGTAATGTCATTGAATGAACACACTATTGTATATTGGTTTCCTACTATATTAGCCAGTCATAGGTAAAGCGTAAAACGTGCCTGTATTTCACCTGTATCTGTTACCTATGTGTTAAAGTACTCGACCAGACTTCACCTTTACAACCCTCACACCCGTATGTGCTACCTATCTGTTACCTATGTGTTAAAGTACTCGACCAGACTTCACCTTTACAACCCTATACCTATGTGTTACCTATGTGTAAAAAGTACCCGACCAGACTTCACCTTTACAACCCTAACACCCGTATGTGCTACCTATGTGTTACCTATGTGTTAAAGTATTCGACCAGACTTCACCTTTACAACCCTATACCTATGTTTACTTATGTGTTAAAGTACCCGACCAGACATCACCTTTAACACCATAACACCCGTATGTGTTACCTATGTGTTACCTAAGTGTTAAAGTACTCGACCAGACATCACCTTTACAACCCTAACACCCGTATGTGTTACCTATGTGTTACCTATGTGTTAAAGTACTCGACCAGACATCACCTTTATAAACCCTAACACCCGTATCCGTTACCTATGTGTTACCTATGTGTTAAAGTACCCTACCAGACTTCACCTTTACAACCCTAACACCCGGATGTGCTACCTATGTGTTACCTATGTGTTACCTATGTGTTAAAGTACCCTACCAGACTTCACCTTTACAACCCTAACACCCGGATGTGCTACCTATGTGTTACCTAGGTGTTAAAGTACGCGACCAGACATCACCTTTAACACCCTAACACCCGTATGTGTTTCCTATGTGTTACCTATGTGTTAAAGTACTCGTCCAGACTTCACCTTTACAACCCTAACACCCGTATGTGCTACCTATGTGTTACCTAGGTGTTAAAGTACCCGACCAGACATCACCTTTACAACCCTAACACCCGTATGTGCTCCCTATGTGTTACCTATGTGTTACCTATGTGTTAAAGTCCCCGCCCAGACTTCACCTTTACAACCCTAACACCCGGATGTGCTACCTATGTGTTACCTATGTGTTACCTATGTGTTAAAGTCCCCGCCCAGACTTCACCTTTACAACCCTAACACCCGGATGTGCTACCTATGTGTTACCTATGTGTTACCTATGTGTTAAAGTACTCGACCAGACATCACCTTTATAAACCCTAACACCCGTATGCGTTACCTATGTGTTACCTATGTGTTAAAGTACCCGACCAGACTTCACCTTTACAACCCTAACACCTGTATATGTTACCTATGTGTTAAAGTACCCGACCAGGCTTCACCTTTACAACCCTAACACCCGTATGTGCTACCTATGTGTTACCTAGGTGTTAAAGTACCCGACCAGACATCACCTTTAACACCCTAACACCCGTATGTGTTTCCTATGTGTTACCTATGTGTTAAAGAACCCGACCAGACTTCACCTTTACAACCCTTACACCTGCTTGTGTTACCTATGTGTTACCTATGTGTTAAAGTACCCGACCAGACTTCACCTTTACAACCCTTACACCTGTTTATGTTACCTATGTGTTAAAGTACTCGACCAGACTTCACCTTTACAACCCTAACACCCGTATGTGTTACCTATGTGTTACCTATGTGTTAAAGTACTCGACCAGACTTCACCTTTAACATCCTAACACCCGTATGTGTTACCTATGTGTTACTTATGTGTTAAAATACTCGACCAGACTTCACCTTTACAACCCTAATACCCGTATGTGCTACCTATCTGTTACCTATGTGTTAAAGTACTCGACCATACTTCACCTTTAACACCCTAACACCCGTATGTGTTTCCTATGTGTTACCTATGTGTTAAAGTACTCGACCATACTTCACCTTTAACACCCTAACACCCGTATGTGTTACCTATGTGTTACCTATGTGTTAAAGTACTCGACCAGACTTCACCTTTACAACCCTAACTACCGTATGTGTTACCTATGTGTTACCTACGTGTTATAAAACCCTAACACTCATAGGTGTTACCTATGTGTTACATATATGTTATAAAACCCTAACACTCGTAGGTGTTACCTATGTGTTATAAAAGCCTAACACTCGTAGGTGTTACCTTTGTGTTATAAAACCCTAACACTCTTAGGTGTTACCTATGTGTTACATGTATGTTATAAAACCCTAACACTCGTAGGTATTACCTATGTGTTAAAGTACTCGACCAGACTTCACCTTTAACATCCTAACACCCTTATGTGTTACCTATGTGTTACTTATGTGTTAAAATACTCGACCAGACTTCACCTTTAACATCCTAACACCCGTATGTGTTTCCTATGTGTTACTTATGTGTTAAAATACGCGACCAGACTTCACCTTTACAACCCTAACGTCCGTCTGTGCTACCTATGTGTTACCTATGTGTTATAAAACCCTTACAATCATAGGTGTTACCTATGTGTTATAAAACACTAACACTCGTAGGGGTTACCTATGTGTTATAAAACCCTAACAATCGTAGGTGTTACCTATGTGTTAAAAAACCCTAACACTCGTAGGTGTTACCTATGTATTACATATATGTTATAAAACACTAACACTCGTAGGGGTTACCTATGTATTATAAAACCCTAACACTCGTAGCTGTTACCTATGTGTTACATATATAGTATAAAACCCTAACACTCGTAGGCGTTACCTATGTATTACATATATGTTATAAAACCCTAACCCTCGTAGGTGTTACCTATGTGTTACATATATAGTATAAAACCCTAACACTCGTAGGGGTTACCTATGTATTATAAAACCCTAACACTCGTAGGGGTTACCTATGTATTATAAAACCCTAACACTCGTAGGGGTTACCTATGTATTATAAAACCCTAACACTCGTAGGTGATACCTATGTGTTAAAGTACTCGACCATTCTTCACCTTTAACACCCTAACACCCGTATGTGTTTCCTATGTGTTACCTATGTGTTAAAGTACCCGACCAGACTTCACCTTTACAACCCTATACCTATGTGTTACCTATGTGTAAAAAGTACCCGACCAGACTTCACCTTTACAACCCTAATACCCGTATGTGTGTGTTAAAGTACTCGACCAGACTTCACCTTTAACATCCTAACACCCTTATGTGTTACCTATGTGTTACTTATGTTTTAAAATACTCGACCAGACTTCACCTTTACAACCCTAACTACCGTATGTGTTACCTATGTGTTGCCTACGTGTTATAAAACCCTAACACTCTTAGGTGTTACCTATGTGTTACATGTATGTTATAAAACCCTAACACTCGTAGGTGTTACCTATGTGTTAAAGTACTCGACCAGATACCGAGATGAGCAAAGGTTGTGTTGTATCACACACTGACATACTAACAGCAAGGTCGACATACTGGCACGAGTTGATTTGAGAAGTACCCATGTACTTTTCTCGTCACGTCAGACAGACAGACACTAGAAAAGCGAAGACAACGTCTTGGTCATGTTTTGTAGAATGGGTGTCTGCGCACACCCAAGCCTATTCAAATGAAAATTGTTGTTAAAAATACGTGAATTATATCATTTTCAGTCAAGATAATTAGTTACTAAAGTATATGAAGTATTGACCAATCTTTAATGTAACATATAACAGTAGTTTGCACAAAACCAGGCGTGCGTAGCTAACAAATTTGAAGTTTAAATAGAAATAAAATATATTTTTGGCTTCCGCACACTTGTGAGGAAAAACTAAATAGCTTAAATTTTAGTTAATATGACATCACTGCCTTTTCCTATTTTATTAAGTATGTCGCTTACGCTATTGAAAAAAAAAGACATATCAAACTGATAATAGTTTAATGAACTGGTACACATCTTTATCTCCTGTATGACACACAGTAAATCCTCTTTACACTGCCAACATGTGTGAAGCTGTTTTACCCGTTATGCATGAGCTAGTCGAAATATCGAGGAAAATAAAAACAAAAGGAGTTGGGGG